TTTAGAAAACGTATCCGTTTGTGTTTAGAAGTAAATGGTGCGCATATTGAACATTTATTATGACATGAATCTTTTCCAATTTGTTAAATATTCGTTGTTTTTATGCTGGTTGAACGATTTTCTTCGACAATCTTTGTTACTTGTTTTGTTAAATTATTAATGAACTGTATTAATTAACTTAATATTATCTTATTATTTATTAAACTTTATCTTAACCATCGTAACCATGGTAATCATATAATTACTGCATCTAAATCGTTAGAATTAATGATGTTTACAATAGGTCAGCTTATGAAACTAAAACTTTGAATATCTCGATGCAGTATTGTACAATCGTTGCGGGACACCTGTAGATGGATGGTTTTTTAATTGTCGGCTCTACCGGTTTCGATTGTTACATTCAATCATCTTCAGGAACTAGCCACGTCATTAAACATATTTTTAAGAAACATATCTTGCTTATTGTTTTAGCTGTTATCTTCTTGATTGTGATTATTATTTACTTCCTCTTCTCTTTGTTACCTTGTTAATTTACTCAAAAACGATTTCTTTGCACCACTACATGCCATGTGTTTCTTTTCGTTTATTTTTGAGGTTGTCAACACAACCTGTGTGTTCAAGGCCTTTTACTGTTTAATATTTATGTTAATGACATATTTGACGTCGTTAATTATGCTCAATGCTTTATGCGTGCTGACGATTTAAAACTCTTTCTCCGTATCTCCTCACCTCTTGATTGTTGTAGATTGCCATCTGATTTAGATAATCTTCATGCTTTTTGCTTAAATAATCGCCTTTCATTAAACTTATCAATGTATAATATTATTTCCTTCTCTAGGAGGAACTTTATTTGATACACATATTGATACTGTTACCTCCAAAGCCTGGCGTATATTAGGATTTATTATGAGATTCACGGCAGCTTTTTCTAACATTGATGCAATTAGAAATCTGTCTACAGCACACTTAACTTTTGCAGCGTCGTTTGGCATCCTCAGTATCACTCGTATATATTTAAAATTGAGCGTATTCAATCTATATTCCTCAAGTACCTTTGTTTTAAATTTTCCATTCAATACATTGATTACTAATCAACTTGTATTTCTTTTCGTATGGTAACTTTCAGCCAGCGTCGCTTTTGTGGGGATATGTTATATTTTTATAAACTTTTGAACAATAAATGTGGTTCTCCAATGCTTGTCTGTTCTATAGGTGTCCAAGATTACTTTGCTTTGACTTACTATATATAACATCTACTCCTAGAACCAATGCCTGTCAAAATTCTCCTTTATTGAGAATGGCGAGATCCTCAAATCATGTTAATATAGATCTGTTTCAGCATTCTCTATGCATTTAAAAAATTGCTCTTTGCTGCAGTTGGTGTTTTGCCTCGGGCGTTCATTTGATATGTTATATTTATATCACCTAGACTTAGTTTTATTTTTCTCCTTTTGATTCACTTTTGTACCATTATTCTTAATTCATTTTTATTATTGTGAACTGTAATTTAACTGGTTGTTTGTGATACAGTGTTATTGGGTTCAACCTGTTTCTGTACCCAATTGAAATATTGACCTCATAACAATGTTTTTTTTAACAATGGTTTTTTGGATAGGTTTGAAAACGCACTTTTTTTGATTATGCCATCTAGTGACGCGATATTTTGCTTGGGGGACTTTAACATAGATGCACTTAACTCTGCAAGTGCTGCTTATTGTAATTTTTGTGCACTGCTGGAAGTATTTAGTTTAAAGCAATATATTGATGAGCCCACTAGAATTAACCTTCGTACTAGTACGCTAATTGATTTTGTGATTGCGGATGACGGTGCTCCTGTTGTGGCTTCTGGTGCGGTGGCGGTTCATGACATTTCTGATCATCATCTCGTTTTTTGTACAATTGCTTTGACAAATTTCTTCCCTCCTTCCGTCGTAAGAACTTTCCGTAGTTTTAGAAACATTGATAGTGAATTGTTTATGTCCGACTTAAAAGAAGTTCAATGGCATTCCATCTTTGATTTCAATGATATTGATGCCAAGCTGAATTTTCTAAATAATAATATTGTAAATTTATTTGATCGACATGCGCCTATTGTAACGCACACGTTTACAAAAAAAAACCACCTTGGCTAACAGATAATGTGAAACTTTTGATGGATTTAAGGGACAAAGCACTTCATAAATTTAAACACACAAACAGTTTACATGACTGGGACTATTACAAAATGTTGCGGAATTATACTACAGGTGCAATAAAAAGAGAGAAAAGAGCTTATGTGGAGTTCTCGGCAAGGAGTAAAAATAAAAAGCAATTATGGTCAAGTTTAAAGAAATGCGGTGTCCATTATAACAAAAATAGAGAGATTCCTCTTTCACTTTCTGATGCTGATGAAATTAACAACTATTTTTGTTCAGTACAAAGTGACGGGTTGCCAGATGTAGACCTTTTAAATTTTTATAGTAACAATGTTAAAGATTCTGTGGATGTGTTTGAGTTTACTGCGGTGACGGAGGAGGAGGTAGGAGATGCCTTAAGTGCTATTTCTTCCAATGCTCAGGGAGCTGACCAGCTTTCTATATCTATGATAAACATATGTTCTCCCTTGATCATACATTTCATCAGACACATTTTTAATTTTTGTATAACTGAACATGTTTTTCCATCTTGCTGGAAAGAGTCGATCATTTTACCCATCGCTAAAGCAAGTAATCCTAATGCGGTGTCGGATTTAAGACCGATTAGTATTTTGCCGGTGCTTTCGAAGGCATTTGAAAAAATTTTAGCAAAACAACTTAGACATTATCTGAATGCGTGTAATATTTTGCCTGAATTCCAATCTGGGTTTAGACCTCATCATGGCTGCTGTGGAGCGCTTTTGAATATCACTGACGACTTGTTGTCTGCGGTTGATCAGGGGAAGATGTCGGCGCTTGTTATGTTGGACTACTCCAAGGCCTTTGATACTATTAATCATTCATTGTTGTTGAGTATTTTGCACTACATAGGCCTTGGGTGTGGTGCGATATCGTTGTTCGCTGACTATCTGGCGGGTAGGTCACAAAGTGTCATGATACATGGAAACAGATCTAGACCCACTGAAGTCGTATCCGGTGTACCTCAGGGCTCTGTGTTGGGTCCCATTTTGTATACGGTGTATACATGCCGGTTATACGACTGTCTGCGTCATTGTAAGTATCATGCTTATGCTGATGACACTCAGATTTATTCCTCTTTTAATGAAAAAGATCTTGCTGTTGCGCAAAGACATATTAACCAGGACCTGGATGCACTAGTTAGCCTTTCAGAAAGGCATAATTTAGTTATTAACCCCGATAAGAGTAAGTTATTATTGTTCGGGAGTAAAGCGTGCAGGAATAGAATAAAAAATAATATACAGATTTTTGTTAAAAATAGTCCATTGAATATTTCAAGTGAAGCAAAAAATTTGGGTGTCATACTGGATTCCGAACTTCGTTTTACGCAGCATGTTAGTTCGATGATGCGGTGGTCGTACTGTGCTCTTAAATCTCTTTATGAACACCGTTTCCTACTTAATAAACGAATAAAAATATTGCTCTGTGAAACACTTGTTTTGTCTAATCTTAATTATTGTGATGTCGTTTACGGACCTTGTCTCAAGGGTCGTGACAAATACCGTATCCAGAAGCTACAAAACTCTTGTATTAGATTCATTTCTGGTTTGAGAAATCGCGATCGAATATCTCATGTTTATGAGGATATCGGTTGGCTGCGTATGGCTGCACGTCGTAGGTTGCATGCCCTTGTTTTCTACCACCATGTGCTGAATAAGAGGGTACCACAGTACTTGTATGAAAGAATTCGTTTCCGAACTGACGTTCACAACGTTAATGTACGTAAAAAAGATTACCTGGCAATACCGCGTCACAGGCTTGAGCTGTTTAAGAAGTCGTTTCCTTACACCATTGTTTCCTATTATAATTCTGTTCCTCCTGAATTCCAGCACCTTGGTGGTATCTCCTTCAAGAAGAAAATCAAAGGGCTCTTTCTGACCTGTAATAAATGACTAGGTCGCGCAATTGTTTTTTTTTTCTCTTTCTCCGAGACTCCATACACACTATGTTATGATTGCTGGTTTTTCGTAATGCTTGCACTGTAATAGTTGATTCGTGGCCCTTTCGTTTCTTTTCTTTTTTTTTTTAAGTTTATTATTTTTACCATTAGTTAGTAGTTAGTTAGTTTAGTTAGTTGATAGATTTGTTTTTATGGGGTGCCGTAAGAACAGATCAGTGTTCTTCACTGTTCTGAGGTATCTCCATTTGGCGCACATTTTTTTTCTTTTTTCTTGTTGTTTGTTTTTTTTTTTTTTAATATGTATACAATTTTTCTTTTGTTATATTATGGATATACTTATATTATATTATGCGTCAATAAATAAAAATAAATAAAATAAATAAATAAATGTACAACATTTAAAAGGTTTTAATTTTTTTTTTGAAACTAATATTATTTGCCATTAATTTCCACCAAAATGCTCAAATATACATCGGGAATTTTAAAAATATATAAAATATACTCAATTCTATACATAAATTATAAAGATATAAATATCTTTAATTTTCTAAGGATAAAAATTAATTAAAATTGGTATAAAATCTGTATAAAACTATCTCAAATCAATATTTTTAATGAAACCCATCCAAATCAAAAAATTAATTAATCAGTTTTCCTACTCACTTAATATCTCCTTAATTCCCCAATTTACTAAAATCCACCTCAAAATTTTCAACTAGCAATCGAGAAGTTGTCGTCAGCAGACGACGAAGACCCCGTTTGGGGAAACATTAAGCGCGTGGGGGGCAAGTTCAAGCTTTAAAGCGCGAGATCTCGTTTGCGGTCAATTAAAACGTGAAATAGCCCAAAGGGTGGTTTGGGGATGCGCGGGGGACAGGCAGTTTGCGCGGTCATTTAAAAGTGGTTGCATATTGCCGTGGGGTCTCAGTCACGCGTTACGGCTTCCGGATCAACTTTGGAGAAAATCAACAGAGACAACCCTCTATAAGAAAAAGTTTTTTAGTGCTTCAACATCAACAGGTAGGATCTTATTTAAAATTTATAATAACGGGGTAATATAAAATTAAACAATAATTTTTGAAAAATTTTAAATTATTTTTATTTTTGTACGATTTTTTATGTTGGTGTTATCGATGAGGATTTTTTTAAGTTGATAAAGAGAATTGAAGGGTAATAATATAAGGTTTCTTTAAACTTTTGTCTCTTCTAATTGGTTTAAAAGGTAAAAAACGTGTAGCTATAAAAAAGTAAACTCCATTTTCGGTTTCGATTAAAATAATTTAATAAATTCATTCTTTTTGTCTTTCTTTTATTAAGAATTTTGAATAGATTTTCGTTTAAGAAATTCCTTTCAAGATCTATATTACTATCATTCGAGGGGTGAATATCGGCCCCCCTCGTTTCGCATTCCTGAGATTCTCGCGTCGAATACCAACGGTTGGGGCGTCAAACTGGGGCGCGTCGAGAGATGATGCGTCTGACTGCTCCTAATTGAATTTTTATATCAGCCACCAGATCATTCATTCGTTCATTTCCCCCAATAGACCGTTTATTTTTTTTCTTAACCCAACCAGTCTCCCTATTCATACCGCGCCACCATTCACTATCAATGAATTGAATGAACCTCGCGCATCAACGATCACATCACATCACTAAAAAGAAAATTAATTGACTTGAACGAATATATTTAATGTGATGTTAAATTTCAAAAAAAATATTTAATAATAAGATATGTCAATAAATTTAATAACTCCTTCGATCCGGTCTTTGCCGCCGTAAATTAATCATTACACATGGGATTAAGATTAAGTTTGGCTTTCAAAGTCCCAAAACTGCTTTATGAGATTTGAATACGATTCCACGAAGCTGCAAAGATATCAAACGAGAGCTTGGAGGTAATATATAGCATAACAATAATGAAGTACATGATGACGAAAATAACAGGATTATGAGCTTGTAAAAATAATACTTCGCCAAATTGGTATCCTTGAAGTTTTATTACATCAACTTTTGGGAGGACTTAAAAAAAGTTACTGTATGGTCTGATTCTGCGTGACCTTTTTAAAAGCACCAATTCATAATTATGTTTAAAAACTTGATGATCTGCAAACTATACTAAATAATAGGTGATAGAAGATGTCAAGCTTTCAAATTAGATTTGTGGGGTGGAGGAGTAGTAAGCCACCTTGCAGTTTATAATTTGCAAGATAACTTTTACAGCTTTATTTTTACAATCTAAGAAATTAACAAGTTGGTGCGGGAACTGTGTGATTTGTACATCTGAGAAGACCAGAGTAACATTCTGACAAAGACTTGTGACCGTCTTAAGTAAAGTAAAAACCAACGGCATGAAAAATATCTGCACCATTAAATGAATTTCTTTAATGCTACGAAAAACTGTATCATTGAAGAAAAAGATAGCATTAATTTTATGAACAAACTCATTACTGAACATACAAAGAACTGTGTCTTCATTGCTGGCTATGACTTTTAGTACCAGTGTTCCAGAATTTCGATTTTGAGCAGTATTGAATTATGGTTCTAAACGAAATAGAAAAAAGTCTTCTTCAGTCTTGAAACATGTGCTCGAGCAGTAAATTGTTATACAAAATGTCATACAGGATATGTATGCAGGACCAGTATAAAATGTATTGGCGAATGCAATGAATATGAAACCCCATAAAGTTAGTATGACACAAACGGTTAGAAGATTTCCTCATTTCTTTAACCGTCCCATTAATTACGATGTAAGACGGCTTAAAAAGCAACCTTAAAAAATTTTCCGTATGACATTTATTTTGACAACCTTTTTACAAGTCTGCACCTATTGAGATATTTGAATTAGCATCGAAGTCGCAGATGAAAAAGAAACATAAAGGGAACTATGATACTGCTTTAGACCGAACAACCGGATTCTTTTTATGAGATGGATGGACAACAATGTAGTTACTGTCGCGTCTACAAGATTTGGAATGGAGCCAATAGGCTACGATTTTTTCAGAAGTAGAAAAAGACCATCTAAATTAGTCAACCTGATGTTATTAGGTGCCACAATGCGTCCTTCATGAGATCAGTCTACCCATAGACTGATCTCATGAAGGATCTCATTGAAGCAAGAATTAAACATGCATAATTCTTCACACCAGTTTAAACCACAACTGTTTTGCGCCTTTAACATAGTAGGGAAAGTATCACACAACTCTTTCTTGTCCATTGCTTTTAGCGTTCCTGATATAGTAAGGAGCATTCATTGCTGAACATAGAATTCTGTTTTCTCTTATCAAATTATCCCTCCGGGCTTCTATCATCTTTTCCAACAAGCTATGATAGCCCGCGATCTCATGACTGCTCTTCGCATGTGTTTCTGGCAAAGACCATCCTTCCTTTTTATTAATCCCACAAAATGAATCTTGTGAGGTGTTTCGCCAGCTGATACGTTGGAGAATTTATGGCACTGACAATAGGGCGTAGCGGAACATCCGGTTTACGGATTTTCGGTAGGCCCCAGTACCACCAGGCAATTTGTGGATCGCCTACAATCCATAAATCGGATATCGCGCTGCGCCCTATTGTCAGTGTTTATTCATTACAGCTGTTTCTCTTCTATTCTTCTATGTTTGCTACTAGAACTGTCAAACTCAGTTCTTTTTTGTATGTTATGTTTTGTATTCGGTCTCTTGTAGTTTTACTTGCAATTTTTCACAGATACTTCATCTCTGCTACTCCCATTCTTGATTTGTGCCTGACTAGCATTGTCTAAGTCACTCTAAGTTTTTGATTCATAGGTTGGGTTGGGTTGAAAAAAAATATCATTTTTGTAATATTTTGTTTTCTTCTTTCTTACCTAGCAAGGTATGATAGGTATATATATATTATTATTTATCTGGTAACGCACTTTACTTACTGTTGCTATTCTGTTGCGTATCTCTTGATCTATTTTGCTGCAAACTTTACTAATTATTAGTGGTGGTAATTAGTGGTGGGCTTTGGCCGGATATTAAAAACCTATTATGTACTTAGTACTCCACCATTCACAGGAATTAGTATCTCTTTTAGGTGTTGGACACTGGAGATAATAATCAAGGTCAACCCCAATAGGACTTTTTTCATTGAATACAACTTTATTTATATCAGGTTTGTTATTAGCAACCTCATTATAACAATCCCAACACGATATATAAAATCTCTTGTTGCAGTTTCGTCTAGTTTTCTTCTCTTCGCTTGTAATTCATAAT